CCGGAGGCTCCACTGGGTACCAGGAGGAAACGACCCAGTGAAGCCAGGAGGGCGGCGCAGCCAGATCTCCTCGTGCAGGCTGCCCTGCAAGAAAGCTGTACTGAAGTCAAGAGAGTGAAGCTCGTAGTCACGCTGAGCGGCAACGTGCAGCAGCACTCAAAGAGTGGTCATCTTCGGGGTGGGGGAGAAGGTCTGAAAGAAGTCTACTCCCTCTCGCTGACTGAAGCCTCGAGCAACGTACCGAGCCTTGAAGACAGGCGGAGAACCTGGCGGCCGCTTCACCTTGAAAATCCACATGCCACTGACGATGTTCGCCCCAGGAGGGGGAACCTCGTCGACGTAAGTGCCAGTGGACTTCCAGGATGCCATCTCTGCATCCATGGCTGTCTGCCACTGAGAGGAGTACTCACCCGCGATCGCCTCAGCGTAAGAGCGCGGGGTCGGGATGTCTGGAGCATCCGGGTCTCCCTCAGGTGCAATCAGCATGGACACGAGATGAGGTACAGCAGCGGCAAAGCACTCAAACTCCTCCTGCCTGTCCTCAAGGACGTCCGTGCCAAGGGCACACTCACCCCCGACGGACGGAGGACAGACAGACTCAGACTCAGCAACAAGACTCGCAGCGTAGTCTAGTCAGCAGTGAGCAGCAAATTCGACAAGCTCAGTAACTAAGGCAAACGCAGCAGCTGACTCAAAGGAAGGGCCAGTGACAACTGTGGACAGGAGACGCGTGACAGTAGGACTAGCAGCACGAAGAGAGTCAGACTCGGGGTCAGCAAGGGCAGGGAGGGAGGACGCAGGAGGAGAAGGCAGAGGGACACGCCGTGGAGCAGTGGAAAGACGAAGCAGCATCTGGTGAGTGCCGGGGACAGCAGGAGGACGCTGACGCGGGACACGACGACCAGGGCGAACAGCACGAACAGGTGACGCAGAACGAGACTCAGGCGACACAGGACAAGACTCAGGCTCACGGCGCTCCGTAAGACCTCCTGTCGGACCAGTGTAGGGAGAAGGACCAGGAAGTGGCGAGGTGGGCTGTAACTGTGACTGCAACTGGATAGGCGAAGGACACTCTAAGGGGGGAGCCGGACAAGGAGGAGGCGACCGACCAAGAACCTGCTGAAGGAGCGGAACGAAGTACGGCCGCGGCCGTGACGTGCCCCCAGAACCAGCAGAGACAGCACCAGAACCCCCAGCAGCAGTTCCAACTCCCGCAGCACCAGTAGCACCTCCAGCAGCTACAGGACCTCCAGCAGTACCAGCAGCACCTCCAGTAGCTCCAGCACCTCCAGCAGCACCAGTACCTCCAGCAGCACCAGCAGCACCTCCAGTAGCTCCAGCACCTCCAGCAGCACCAGTAGCACCTCCAGCAGCACCAGCAGCACCTCCAGTAGCTCCAGCACCGCCAGCAGCACCAGTAGCACCTCCAGCAGCTCCAGTAGCACCTCCAACAGCAGCCGGGCCTCCAGCAGGTGGTAACTCAAAACGAGGAGCTCCACTCCGGAGGCTGCAGCGCCGAGCGTACCACTCACGTAGCCGCCGAGGGGAGGGAGGCTCCGGCCACAACACAGTACTCGCACCCCTAGGCTCAGCACCCCCAGGCTCAGCACCCCCAGCCGCAGCACCCCCAGTCTCAGTACCCTCAGTCGCAGCACTCAAAGGCGCAGCACCCCCAGTCGCAGCACCCCCAGGCTCAGCACCCCCAGTCTCAGCACCCCCAGTCTCAGTGCCCCCAGGCTCAGTACCCCGCTCAGGACCAGAGTCAACAGCTACCTCGACAGGCTCGACTGCGTCTACCTGGGAAACACCGGAGGGAGCAGGACCCTGGGGAGGGAGGGGGTCTACCGGAGGGGCACCTGGGGTGAGGAAGAGAGGCGGGGGGGGGAGAGGAGCAGTACGGTAGGGGAACAGACGGTAGAAGGGTACCGACTCGTCAAAGGTGACGTCCTGAGAGGGGAAGACACGGCGCGAGGTGGGGTGGTAAAACAGCCAACCAGGCGCGTCGGGGACAAAGCCAAGGAAGACACAAGGCACAGCGCGGGCGGAGAGCTTGTCCGCAGTGGTATCGCGGACAAAGGCACGAGCACCCCAGACCCGGAAACGCGACGCATCGCCAACCTGCCCCGTCCACAGCAGTGTGGGCGAGGTCTCCGAAGCGGAGACACGGGGCCAGAGGTTGAGCTGATGCGCAGCGTACTGGACTGCAAACGGCCACAGGAAATGGGGGGCAGCCGCATGGATCAAGGAGGTACGAGCGATCTCCATGACCAAGCCAATGCGGCGCTCAGAAACCCCATTCTGCTGTGGAGAGGCCGGAAGCGTGAAAGTCTGGCGGATGCCATGCTCCGCACAGTAGGCTGCCAAGAGGTCGGAGGAAAACTCACCACCTCGGTCAGAGTGCAGACACAGGACGGGACAGTCCGACTGGAACCGGTCGCGGAGCTGGAGACGAACAGCGCGGATCCAAGGGATCAAAACATCAGGGACCTCACCCTTGGTGCGCAAGGGGAAGACCGTGGTGTAGCGCGTGTAGTCGTCGACAACCAGCAGGAAGTACCGCTCGTGGCCCTGTCCACGGACGCGGGCTGGGCCCCACACGTCCAGGTGGAGAGTCTGCAGAGGAGCCTCTGTGGGAGGGAACGAGGAGGAGTGAGGAGCGGCGCGCTGCCGCCCCTCGACGCAGGGAAGACAGGGAGGAGCAGGCGAGGGCGGGAGGGGAGGGAGAACCCTGGGAAGACCAGAGACAAGGTACCGGGAGTGCATGCCACGAAGGCGCTGCACTGACGGGTGCCCAAGCCGGTGGTGCCAGAGAACCGTCTAGTGCGACAGGGAGCGACACGAGCAGGGGGCCGAAAGCTGACCTGACGCAGACACAGACGCAGCTACCTGAGGGGACTCAGTGGTCAGTGTGTACAGGTCCGACCCCGGCTGCCGAGTGAAGGTAGCTAGGTGGCGACCTGTCCTAGCACACGTACAGTGGGTCACACGCTCATAGGCAGGGGTGAACTGGTGAACACCCCCATCCTGAAGAGCAGAGCCCGCCACCAAGTTCGTAGAGAACGAGGGGAGGTAAAGACCCGACAGGGTGCCGGACGGGACCGCAGGACAAGGGAGGACAGTGGAGGAGGTCGCAATGACCGGGCCCCCAGAGGGGTCAGCGAGAGAGACAGCAACCGGCCGAGCTAGCTGCTCAAGGGCAGTGCGGTCACGGAAGAAGCAGCGGGAAGCACCCGAGTCGAGTGTGAAGGTGTGCAGTGCCTCAGTAGACGCAGTACCAGCAAGCGCCGACGCACTAGCACCTGAGGGAGCAGACTCACTAGCACCAAGAGCAGCAGTCTCACCAGGACCGAGGGCAGGAGACGCACGCGTACCAAGAGCAGCAGCCTCACCAGGACCTAGGGCAGCAGACGCACTAGCACCTGGAGGAGCTGTCTCACTGGTCCCAATGCCCGGGTCTGGCGGTACACTCAGGTAACAGTCACCCTCAACACTAATAGTCAATGCATACATGGCACCAAGGATAGCATCAAAGTCAAGAGCAAAGATATCAATGTTCTTTCTAAGCAAATCAGCCCAGCGGGGCAGCTCAGTGGCGTCAGGAAACTGCTCACGCCAGGCGTCAGGAAAGAAGCAGCGCTGTGCCGTGTGGAACCTCCCACAGGTCTGGCCAGTGCGGTCACCTGTGCGGATGACGTACGGGCAGGTACCTCCACCCCCAGACCCCCCACGCTGAGAGTACCACTCACGGAGTTGCTGGGGCGAGGGAGTCTGCTGTTGCTGCCTCTGGCCACCGCCGAACCCCCCACGCTGCACCGCTCCACCACGTCCGCCACCCGCTCCACCGCCGCCACCACTGCCACCACCGCCCCCACCACCCCCACCACCGCCGCCGCCACCACCCCCTGTGCCGCCACTGACCCCCCCACCACCCGCGCCACTCCCACCTCCGCCACCACCCCCGCCCCCCCCACCCCCTCCACCGCCGCCGCCCCCGCCTCCACCTCCACCACCCCTGCCCCCCTTGCCCCTGCCGCCCTTGCGCCTCCCACTAGGAGAAGACGCGGCCCCGACCCCCTCAGCTCCGAGGTAGCCGACAGCAGCAGCAGATGCAATGGAGGGGAGGAGGGGGGAGGGGGAGCACCCCTCAAAGAAGGGGGTGCGGGGGTCACCACGAGAGGCACCTACAGCTACAATGCTCTTCTCAGCTGCTAGGAGTTCCTTCTCGAGGAGGTCGACAGTGTGGTCAGTGGGGGAGAGGGCGAGAAACTGGTCCCTGACAGTGCGAAGGGAGTCAGGGAGGCGGGTGACAAGGTGGTACAGTGTGAGGTACATCGGGGGGGGGTTCTTGGCGAGGAAATCGGGGGGGAGCGCGGCACGGTAGCGGAGGTCACTGGTACGGAGGTGGGTGATGAGGTCAGCTACAGTGGCAAACGCGGACAGGTCAGGGAAGAGATAGGGCAGTGAGAGACGGCCTATAGCAGCAGTGGCAGGGGAGGAGTAGCGTGCGACTACTGCGTCATACAGCTCCTTAGCGGTCTTATGCTGGCCGAAGTGCTCGCGCTCATCTAACGGTAGGTGGCTGCGAACGGCTAGGCGAGCGTGAGCATCACGGGTCTGCCACTGGGAGCGAGCAGTGCTGTCAGCAGTAGTGGGAGGTGCGGGAGCAGCGCCGGACGTGTGGTCATACAGGGAGACATCGTCTTTGGCAGTGATCTGAAGGAACAGGTGGAGGTCATCTAACCAGACCTCAAACTTAATCGGGCGGCCCTCAACGTCAAAGGTGAGAACAGAGGGAGTGGCCATAGTGGCAGTAGCAGCAGCAGGAACAGTAGCGGCCAGAACTGGAGTCCATGTCTCACGAGGGGGGGAGCTGCGGATTCCACTGACTGACCCACCTCAGCCTCAGGCCTCCTGACCGACAGCAGGTGCCCGACAGCTATGGGCCATGGGTCAGCCGCTCTTTGCGAGTAACACGCTTCTACCACCCGGTTGGCTTTCAAATGGAGTGCGTTTGCTTGGCCCAGCTGAAGGTCAACTGCCCTCCTCCCCTTCCTCCCCTTCCTCCCCTCCCTCCCCTCCCTCCCCTCCGTCCCCTCCGTCCCCTCCCTCCCGTCCCCCCCCTCCCTCCCACTACTGCTGCCGCTGGTAACGCTGGTGGGTCCACTAGCATGTCCTGCCTGCCGGCACGCCCACCTGCCCACCCGCCTGCCTGCCTGCCCACATGGGTCAGACAGGGTTGTGTTGGGCTCGCATGTGTCGTGGCCAGCTGCTTTATGTGCCTCCCCTTGCCATCGCTCATCCCTTTGCCTGCACTGCTTGCCCTGTGCTCTCCTTGCCCACCCTCTTCCTCTCCTCTCGTCTACATGCTGTGTGCCACCCACGCCACGCCAGGTGGTGCATGCAGACATCCTCAAGTGGCCCGTGCACACCCTCCTGCCTGCTCGCCTGCAGCGCCTCACTCGCACAGCAGGGGGCGACGCACACACACTGGGAGGGGCGGGGGGAAGGGCAGCACAAGGCGAAGGGGTGTTGGCGATTGGTGGGGCAGAAGCACGCACGAGTGGGATGGATGGCATGGTGGGAGAACCGCCAGTGGTTCTTGCTGCTGCACGCCCTGCTGCTGCTCCCACAGCTGGCGCTGTGGCGAGCAGAGGCAGCGAGGGGAGTGGAGGCAGCAGTGCCTTGCGTGCCAAGGTGGGTGGCGTAGGCTCAAGGCTGGAGCCCATGCGGCTGACAGGCGTGCGCAAGCCAACTTGGCTGTCTGGATCGCCTCCTTCCTCCTTCAATGTCATTCGCAAGCCAAGGACCACAAAGAAATGTTCATAGCGGGTGAGAAACCACAAATTTATAGATACATATATTGATGGGGGGTGCCTCTCGCTGATGTGACTAAACTGAAGGCTAGAATGGCCAAAAGGCTGGCCTGTCACGAACCTACAGAGGCTCGAAATGAACCTCTATAAGCCGTTGCGAGGATGGACTGTGGGCTGTTTGAACAGGAAAGGCCTAACTCAGGCACCCTCAAACCCAGGCATGAGGTCACACCCAGATTACACCTCTTGTCATGCGCAACACTCACTCCCCCTCGCTGTGGCACCTTCAATCTCTCCAACCTTTGTCTTTCATTCTATTCCTTCTTCCCTTTCCTTCCTTTCCCTCTGCACACCCCCCCTCCTTTAGTCAGGTCCCCCACCACACCCCCTGCAGTGCCCTCCCTTTGACATCTGCCACTCTCTCCTTACCTCCCACCTCACACCGGGCCTGTCCCGACCGTGGGGGAGCAGGGGGGGGGGCATCGCGCCATCGTAGCCCCAATATTGCGCCATCTTACATCGCCCCTTCACCACGCGCCTCTCTCCCGAGCGAGTGCATGGCAGGTGGTGACCAACCTGCCCTTCAGCATCACCACTGCCTTCCCCTTCAATGCCCCCCTGCCTGACGTGCCTCTCGCCCGTGCGCCTCTCTCCCAGGTGGTGACGAACCTCCCCTTCAACATCACCACGGACTTTCTGCGCCTCTTCCTGCCCCTCGGCCACCTCGTCTCCACCGTCGTCTGCATGCTGCAGGTGAGGTGCGGTGAGGTGAGGTGCGGTGAGGTGAGGTGAGGTGCTGCTAGGCCGTGGTGTAATGGCATGGTGTGAGGGGGTGCTGTGATGATGCATGGTTGCAAGCATGACACACACCTGTGTAGGAAATTGTCACATTCCCCCAAATCTCTCACCACCCTCCACCACACCCCACCACTCCCCACCGGGCAGGATGACGCGGCGCAGCGGCTGGTGGATGCAACACCGGCAGCGTCGCAGTACCGACCGATGAGTGTGGTGGTGCACTACTATGCAGGTGAGTGTGTTGGTGCACTACTATGCAGGTGAGTGTGTTGGTGCAGTACAATGCAGGTGAGTGTGTTGGTGCAGGGTGCAGTACTATGCAGGTGAGCACTCGGCTCTGCCTGAGCAAGCAGCACCATGTCACTGCTTCCCCAATACACTGCAATCCCCTCATCTCTTACTCTGCAATCCCCTCATCTCTTACTCTGCAACCTTTATTCTCAATTCCCTCCTCATCTCTCACTCCCCTCTCCCCATCTCTCACTCCCCTCTCCCCATCTCTCACCCCCCTCTCCCCATGTCTCACTCCCCTCTCCCCATGTCTCACTCCCCTCTCCCCATCGCTCACTCTCCCCCACACATGCATCGCCCTTCCCCCATCAGACCCCACCTATCAGTTCTTCGTCAGCCGCCGCAGCTTCCTACCGCCCCCCAATGTATGTTCCAAGGGTCATGTCTGTCAGAAGAATGAACGACAATGAATGAACTATGAAACAGTTGGGTACAAGTACTAACCCTAATTGGGTTGTACCCCTTATGGGCTTCCCACCCCACTATAGCCTACACAAATGTAAGCACTATAATGTTCTGACACACCCCCATAGGCAAAGTGGGGGAGAACAAGAGGGTCACAAGACCAGTCAAGAAAAGCAAAGCAAGCTCAGGGTGGATCACAAAGTCACCACACAGCCCGAGCACAAGCAAAGCACCACAAGGCTAGTTCACGTGCAGTGTTATATAAAGAGAACAAACAATACAGTGAACATACCCTAGCAAGTGTAAGCATGCAGTTATGTATATACATCACAGTACAAGCAGATTCCAGCAGTGAGCAAGTGAAGCAAAGTAGGCACAAGGCCTAACACAGTAGAGAAGCGCTGATGATCACTAGGCGGAAGTGTCTTGGTGAATTTATCAGCAGTGTTGGCCTTAGTGGCCACGTACGCAAGACGAAGCTGACCACGCTGCTGCAACTCTCGAACAAGGAAGTATCGCAGAGCGATGTGCTTCGTTCTGTGCTCCAGTCTGTGCTTCTGACACAAGGCAATCATGGTCTTGTTGTCTACGTACAGAACCGGAGGCGAACGAGGCTGCTCTCCCAAGTCAGTCAGCAGGTAGGTGAGCCAGCGTAACTCCTGTACAGCCATGGCCCCTGCGTAGATCTCAGCCTCACAACTGGAGCTGAGAACCGAAGAGAGCGGGTAGACCGCCAGGAAACAGAGCCAGAACCGAGGCTGAAGGTGTAACCCTGTGACGACTGCTGCGTAGCCAAGTCGTCAACCCAAGAAGCGTCTGCGTGACCAGTGAGGACAACTGGACTCCGTCCTCCAAGCACGAGCCCCATGCTCGACGTACTGTACAAGTAACGCAGTACCCTCTTCGCAGCATCCCAGTGCACCGTTCGGTGGCTACTGGGAGCCACGTAGCGAGCCAAGAGGCTGAGAGGGTATGCGAGGTTAGGTCGAGTGCACGTCATCAGGTACATGAGGCAACCCACAAGCTCTGGGTACGGACCACTCGGCTCTACGGACTCGTCCGAAGGTGGAGCTGAGAGCGAGTGGCCGATAGACAGAGGAGTGGGCTGTGGCGAGGAGAACGGAAGCCGAAGCGCTGAAAGACCTGGTGCACCATGTGTGACTGAGTTAGTGTGATGGTGCGCCGTGCTCTGTCCTCGGTGATCTGCAAGCCAAGATAGCTGCGCAGTTCACCCAGGTCAGTTCAGGTGTGTCTCTTCTGCAGCTCCGACTTCACAAGGGTCAGTGCCTCTGTGTCAGCAGTGGCAAAGACGAGGTCGTCGACGTACAAGAGGACGTAGAACGGCAGCGAGGTGTCGGTGCGTAGAAACAGCGACGGGTCAGCAGTAGAAGGATCAAACCCAAGAGCCGCAAGTGCAGTCCTCAGTGTGTCGTGCCACTCGCGAGGCGCCTGGCGGAGACCGTAGACAGGCCGCCGGAGGCTCCACTGGGTACCTACAGGAAACGACCCAGTGAAGCCAGGTGGGCGACGCAGCCAGATCTCCTCGTGAAGGCTGCCCTGCAAGAAAGCTGTAATGAAGTCCAAGAAGTGCAACTCGTAGTCACGCTGAGCAGCAACGTGCAGCAACACCCGAAGAGTAGTCATCTTCGGGGTGGGAGAGAAGGTCTGAAAGTAAACGACCCCCTGTCGCTGACTGAGCCTCGAGCAACGTAACGCGCCTTGAAGGCAGGCGGAGAACCCGCCGGCCGCTTCACCCTAAAAATCCACATGCCATCGACTATGTTCGCCCCAGGTGGGGGAACCTCGTCGACGTAGGTGCCTGTGGACTTCCAGGATGCCATCTCGGCATCCATGGCTGCATGTCACTGAGAGGAGTAAGGACCCGTAATCGCCTCTGCGTAAGAGCGCGAGGTCGGGATGTCTGGTGCATCCGGGTCTCCCTCAGGGGCAAGCAGCATGGAAGCGAAACGAGGTACAGTAGCTGCAAGAGACTCAAAGTCCTCTTGCCTGTCCTCAAGAACGTTCGTGCCAAGAGCACACTCACCCCCAATAGACAGAGGACTGGCAGACTCAGACTCAGCAACAAGAGCAGTGGCGTAGTCTAGATGGCAGGCAGCAGCAAAGTCAAGTAGCTCAGCAACGAGGGCAGACGCAGCAGCAGACTCAAAAGAAGGGTCAGTGACAGCAGTGGCGAGAAGACGAGAGACAGTGGGACTGGCAGCACGAGCGCGATCAGACTCAGGGTCAGGGATGGCAAGAAGAGAGGACTCAAGAAGAGCAGGCAGAGGAACACGCAGTGGAACAGAGGAAAGGCGGAGTGCCATAGCGTGCGTGCCGGGGACAGGAGGAGGACGCAAACGAGGAGCGCGACGAGCAGTGCGAACAGGCGAGACAGGAAGAGACGCAGGCTTACGACGCTCTATAAGACCGCCGGACTGCTCATTGTAAGGAGTAGGAGCAGGCAGTGGGGAGGCTGACAGTAACGGCGGCTGCGACTGGTCAGGCGGTGGACACAGGAGGGGAGGAGTAAGGCTAGTAGAAGACGGGACACCAAGAACCTGCTGAAGCAGGGGAACGAAGTACGGTCGCGGCCGCACAGTGCCTCCAGCACCTCCAGCTCCAAGGTCAACAGCTCTTGCTCCTGCAGCTCCAGCGTCTCCAGCGCCTCCCGCGCCAGTGCCTCCAACTCCAGCTCCTCTAGCTCTAGCGCCTCCAGCGCCAGTGCCACCAGCTCCAGCTCCTCCAGCTCCAGCGCCACCAGCGCCAGGGCCTCCAGCTCCAGCGGCTCCAGGCTCCGTAGGGTCTCTAGCTCCAGCGCCCCCAACACCACCAGTCCCGGCAGCTCCAGTACCCCCGGTATGAGCACCTCCAGGACCAGCAGCCGCAGTACCTCCAGTACCACCCGCTCCAGCAGTAACTCCAGCACCTCTTGCTCCAGTAAACCCTAAACTCTAAACCCTAAACCCTAGACACACCTGAGGGAGCAGGACCCTGGTGTGGGAGGGGGTCTACCGGAGGGAGACTGGGAGCTAGGAAGAGCGGCGGGGGCGGGAGAGGGGTAGAGCGGTAGGGGAAGAGACGGTAAAAAAGAACTGACTCGTCACACGTGACGTCCTCAGAAAGGATGACACGGCGCGAGGTGGGGTGGTAAAACTGCAAGCCAAGCTCGTCACGGACAAAGCCAAGGAATACGCAGGGGATAGCACGGGCGGAGAGCATGTCCGCGGACGTATCGCGAACAAAGGCACGAGATCCCTAGACCCGGAACACCGACGCATCGCCAACCTTCCCCGTCCAACGCAATGTGGACGAGGTCTCCGGCAAGAAGAGACGGGGCCAGAGGTTGTGCTGATGCGCAACGTACCGGACCGCAAACGGCCACAGAAAATGGGGAGCAGCCGCATGGATCATGGAGGTACGAGCGACCTCCATGACTAAGCCAATACGACGCTCAGCAATCCCATTTTGCTGAGGGGAGTCCGGAAGCGTGAACGACTGGAGAATGCCTTCCCCACGACAAAAGTCCCGCAAGAGGTCGGGAAGAACTCACCACCTCTGTCAGAGTGCAGACGTAAGACGGGAAGGTCCTGGCGGAACCGCTCGCGGAGCTGGAGACGGACTTTGCGGATCCAAGGCATCAAGACATCAGGGACCTGATCCTTGCTGCGCAAGGGGAAGACCGTTGTGTACCGCGTGTAGTCGTCAACAACCAGCAAAAAGTAGCGCTCGCGTCCCTGTCCACTGACGCGGGCTGGGCCCCACATGTCCATGTGGAGAGTCTGCAGGGGAGCTGTCATCGGGGGAAACGAGGAGGAGTGAGAGCGGCGCGCTGCCGCCCCTCGACGCAACGTAGGCAGGGCGGGGCAGACGAGGGCGGGAGGGGAGGCAGAGACCTGGGAAGACCAGAGACGAGGAGGCGGGAGTGCATGCCCCGTAGGCGTGGCAGGGAGGGGTGATCCAGGCGGTGGTGCCACAGAAGAGTCTGGTGCGACAGGAGGCGACACGAGCAAGTTGCGGCTACTTGACCTGACGCGGACACCTGAGCAGACGCAGCTACCTGAGGAGGCTCAGTAGCGAGTGTGTACAGACTCGACTCTGGCCGACAATTGAACGTGGCCAGGTGACGACCCGCCCGTGTACACGTGCAGATCGACACACGCCGACCCCCAGGAGTGGTGGTAGTGACCATCGCGTCCTGGAGGGCTTCGGTACTCACCAAGTTCGTAGAGAACGAGGGGAGGTGAGGACCTGACAGTGAGCCGGACGGAACCGCCGGACACGGGAGGACAGTGGAGGAACGGGCAACGACCGGGCCCCCGGAGGGGTCAGCCTGTCTGACTGGGCAGGTGCAGGGAGAGAGTGAGAGTGGTGCTGTCACGAAGAAAACAGCGTGAGGCACCTGAGTCCAGCGTGAAGGTGTGCAAGGCCTCAGCAGGCGCAGTACCAAGGAGAGAAGACTCACCAGCACCTAGAGTAGCAGCCTCTATACCTGGGTCAGGCGGCACACACCGGTAACAGTCACCCTCAGCACTAGCAGACAAAGCATACATAGCAGAGAGAATAGCATCATAGTCTAGGTCAAAGATCGCAACACCAGACCTAAGCAACTCTGCCCAGTGGGGGCGCTCGACCTCATCACCAAACTCAGCACACCACGCATCGTCGAGACGGGAGAAGCAGCGGTGCTGCGTGTGCGCCTTCCCGCATGTCTGACCAGCACGGTCACCCGTGCGAATGACATACGGGCAGCTCACACTACCCCCAGACGCCCCACGCTGAAACAACCACTCACGAAGCTGCTGGGGCGACGGGGTCTCGCTCCGACGCTTCTGCCGCTACCGCTGGCCTCGTACAGAACCTCCACGTTGAGCTCCAGTCCTACCGCCACCACTGCCACCGCTGCCACTGCTGCCACTCCCACTGCTGCCACTCCCACCGCTGCCTCCACCACCGCTGCCAGAGCCCCCACTCCCGCCACCACTCCCACCGCTGCCACCACCTCCAC